GGTTAACCCAGAGACCATCCAGTATTGACATAATTAATATTTATAGTAAATCATATCGTAGGGTATAATCCCGGTTGAAAAGCTTATCTTCTTAGATCCCTAATGATAGCATGGAATTAAGTGGACTGAAATAACTCTTTGAGGTTTCTTAATACCTTTTCATCTTTGTCTTTATACAGTTCTATACCAAACACCACAATATCGCTTCTCAGAGAAATCAAATTGCAATCTACAAGCCTGATGATAGTACATGGCATGTCGTTGTGTCATTATTTTAAGGGGATATTAAACTCATCAAAAGTCAGTATATTTCCAACAGCTTACTGAGGAGAAAAGTAACTTCCTACATTTAAAAACTCAGCAAGGAAGTCATTGAAATTATCATTTATTATAAATATTCACTAATAGTAGTAGTACTGTTAATATACAGCTTTCACTCGCTATTGTAAAACGAGATGTATGATTCCAATCACCTAACATTAATTACGATCTACTGTGATTCATGAATTGTCATACCTATCGGTGGCCCGATTGTTTGTTTTCGTGCAGATTGTAATACACAAATGAACGGAGAATATGTAGATCTCTAATAGTTTACTGTTTAAACTGGCCAACGTTATTTCTAAGGTCAACTTCAAACCATCAATGGAGAAAAGTAGGACGTAAAACTCCTTTTCACTTATTTTCTGAGTCTGGGTGGCCTAAGTTTCTCGGTTCATTTCTAACAAAGGTTTAGTCGCAATAACTGAGACTTTCAAAAGGTTTTTCCCTTGGCATACTGCATGGTGTTCATTGACTCATTGAAAAGTACAAAAAGGTAGAAATTTGAAAGTAAAGCAAATTTGAATATTTGATTCAACTTTATTTAAGTTTATTGATCAAGTTTATTACCAGAGTTAAGATCTTTAAAATGTGTTAATCGGGTGGAGAATACAAAAATAAACACGTCATCATCACATAATTCATCTGAAAAATACAGCCCGAATATTTATAACATCCGGACTCGTTCTCGATCTGCACACTAAAATATAACTTCAAGGTCTCTAGTCTCCATTTAATTACTTGCTTCAAACCTGTAATGGAGCTATGTTTTTTTTAAACTGTAAGCTATTGAAGTAGTGAGGAAAACGTTGTCAAGGGCGGCTACGAAAGTAATTTTTGACTGCAAAACAGTACAGAAAATGGGGTGTCGGTAGGATTCGATTTATCTTCTTATGTCTCCTGACAGATCATGTTACGTGACGGATCATGCTAAATAAGAATCAATCCAAAAGTTGATTTCGCCACTTCCATGGAATTTACAAATCATGTTTGTTGAAACTTATGTCTGACTAGTGTTTATTTATTATTATTCAAGGACAACATATCGTCTTCCTGTAAGTGTGTAGCAGAAATGACAGGTGTGGTTCCAGAGTAAACTTACTCTTATGATCACTTGATGCTGCTTTCCATCATGGGATGCTTTGTTACACACCCACATCTCTCTATGTTGGTCCGTCGGTCCGTTCGTCAACATTTGCTTGTAAACGCTCTAAAAACTAGATTTTTTGATGGAATCAAATGAATTCGGTATGTGTGTTCATAAAACGAAGATCAAGTTCGAATTTGAGCTATTTTCGACAGTTAGAAGCAGAGTTATTGTCCTTTTCCCAAAATCTTGAATATTTACCATCCGCATGCCGTGGTGGGCGTATATGGCTGTGGTCCACTATCTTTTATGGATGCGGAGGTTTGCAATATTTTTTCTTATCATAAAGTAACAATTATTGTGATAAGTTCCCTCCCTTGACTATTGAAATTAAAGAAATATATTTTAATGAGCTACGTCCCTTGATATTTTGAAATTTAGCGGTATGTCGCAATAGTTGGTACGGTCCAATGTGCAGTGTCTTTTCTAGACACCTGATATCACTAAAAAATACTAACTCAATCATGATTGATATACTTCCTCATGTTAAACATTCATTAGCTATCAATATTTTGCCAATATGTTGTTTGTGGTTGATATATATCGTCAAACGTCATTTAACCTTATATAGTTCCCCTGTCTTATCTGTCTACTTCTGCAAGTTTATAAGCCTACACATTAACTTATCATATCTATCTTTACCAGACAGTCGTTACATACCAATATCTTCATGGCATTTACTATCGTTTCTAATGTACATTTACCACTTATCAGCTGTATTGACATTGTCTGGAATGTCTTAAAGCCATATCAAGGTAAAGGAATATTAGTTTAGTTGCATGTACCTTTTTTTATTTGGTAGAGTTAAAGAATTTGGAAACGACACGAGTATCTGATATAAAAATCAGCATAAGGACCCCATCATCACAATGTCAAGCTTTATGAATTTCGTCTTATACTTTGACTACAAAAGTCTTTTTCTTTTATCACTGGGGTACAATCGAATCACATCAACAAAAACAGTGGCTATCACAGTCAAGGTACAAGACGAAGTTCGTAAAGCTTGACATTGTGATGATGACCTTACCCTGGTAGAATCACATTTTGTATGCGACGCCTGATAGCTTTAGTCATGTTCTGCATTGCGTACAGTGATTGTCTCAACATCTCTGTATGACCGAAACGCCCAATGCTATTCATATCAGTCGGGGTACTGTCTGTAAATCAAAATATAATGACATAATCTACATACAGTCTAAGATCCTGAAGAATTCTCTGTAACACTGCATACGATCGGCACCATACTCTATTTGAATTTAGATTGATTTTTGGAAACAAAACCCCAATATCGATTGTATCAGTCTAATAAACATCGAGTTAATATCATTCTTAGAATATCCCGTCTTTCTCCCGTCGACTGAATTCTGGTATCTTGAATGAAATGAATTAGGGAACGATTGGAGTAATAGAGGCATTACAAAAGTAATTGAAATATGTTTAAACTTTATCAAAGGACCGACATCGGAGGTGTGTATTTTTTAACTGTTGGGGTGTTTACATCGCTAGTGGATTCGCCGATTAGTGTCGATATGTGAAGGGGATGGGACATCTATCAAACAGTGTTACATGATTTACTGCTGATACCAATTGAAACATTACGTTCTCATTCGGACGAACACGAACACCAACTGACTTTTACACCATGCTTTACAGGAAGACAAGTCTTCTCATACTCTTAGCCACTGAATTTCTTTACCACCCATCATGGCACTTGTTCAACCCTATGCAGGGTTTACCAACTTTTATATTATTTGTGATAAACTATCAACGAGCCTTGTTTCTGTATGTGGTGCCACGGTCATCGATCATTTAGCTCTTGGTGTATTAATATATAATCAAAATAGTACATATTAATTTATCTTATTAATGAATTAATAACCCGCTAGTTACTCCAATATTATTTTAATTACAATGTTAATTACAATATTAATTACTCGTGGTGTTCTGCAACCTGCAGCGTTATTTTAAATATCTAATTGTAAAACGTAATTATCAAACGTACAACCAATGCCCCATGAATGATTAGAAAGAAGTGCATTTCGAGTGGTTAACTGCTTGGTATTTTCCATATTTTTAAGTACAAGAATTAGATAGATGTAAAACTCCATATTATTATCCATAAATAGTCATGATACATAGATAGTCATGATACATAGATAGTCATGATACATAGATAGTCATGATACATAGATAGTCATGATGCATAGATTGTCATGAGCATAAATAGTCATGATACATAGATAGTCATGATACATAAATAGTCATGATACATAGATAGTCATGATACATAGATTGTCATGATGCATAGATTGTCATGATACATAGATAGTCATGATGCATAGATAGTCATGATGCATAGAGTGCCATGACGCATAGAGTGTCATGATGCATAGAGTGCCATGACGCATAAAGTGTCATTAAGTTATATATAGTTAGAAGTCGTTGTTAAGTTATATATAGTTAGAAGTCGTTGTTACGTTATAATAGTTAGAAGTCGTTGTTACGTTATAATAGTTAGAAGTTGTTATAAGTTATATATAGTTAGAACTCGTTATAAGTTATATATAGATAGAACTCGTTATAAGTTATATATAGATAGAACTCGTTATAAGTTATATATAGATAGAACTCGTTATAAGTTATATATAGATAGAACTCGTTATAAGTTATATATAGATAGAACTCGTTATAAGTTATATATAGATAGAACTCGTTATAAGTTATATATAGTTAGAACTCGTTATAAGTTATATATAGATAGAACTCGTTATAAGTTATATATAGATAGAACTCGTTATAAGTTATATATTATAGTTAAAACTCATTATTATGTTATATATAGTTAGAAGTAGAATTTTCAATTTCTCAATGGTTAATCTGACATCGAGATTAAACAAATCAGATCATACCGAGACAACAGAATGCACTTCGGTTTGTGAACCGTTACAGAGTTGGGATACGTAGCTGTCACTTTTTTCATTTACGCCAGTTTCAAATAGAGAATTGCGCAGTGAGGGAAATTTTCAAGAAGACTGGCATAAGCCAAATCTCGATATTCAATTGTCCAGAGATCTTTAGCGCATACAGTCTGTAAGTCCAACTGATCTGCATAACTGAAAGGGAGAAATTGTTGAAAAATCCGACGGTATGATCTCAACCTATTCCGAGATTGACCTCAGGACCTCAAGTTAGAGAGCAAGCGTCTAACTAATCGAGTCACCGTGACATCCTTTATTGAAATGTGCTCCAAAAAAAAAAAATAGTGTATCACCTGGTGCCAAGCTGTGACTTTAGAATCCATGTATCAAATGCCGTTCATTGATGTGCAGTAGTCTATTGAGGGCTGGGCAGTTGTTATTGTATTGACACATATCCCAATATACCGACTGTAGAACATCGAAACGATGTAGGTTACAAATGGGAAATAACTCATATGAAAATTCTTAATTTGTGTGGACTTAGTATTTGGCTCTGACAGAGTTGACCTCCTGAACAGTAGGCCTACTAATAATAATGGAACGCTTTTATTTTTCAAAATTAGTTTTTTTATTTCTTAAAACAATAAAAGAAAAGTTTATTACAAATTATCACAACATGGACTGTGTACTAGATTCTTGTTAAACAAAATTAGTTTTTGATTAAATAGAATAATCAACAAAACAAATCTCACAAGCTTAAAAACATCCGTATGAATCTATCATATGCCGCATTCTTTCAATCAACCAGACTCGTTATTAGTTGCGTCATTATGAAATATTTAGAATTCATAGCATATTGATTAATTAATATGTATAGTAATGTCAGTTCTTACCGCTATAAAAAAAAACATCATACACTACCCTTCATTCTCTTAGTTTTAATGTTATAATATTTCATAAAAACGATGACTGATACAACTCTTAAATTCGGGTTATTGGTCCATGAGCCTATCTTCATCTGCACAATGCCAATCAATTACGAACTATCTCTAATACCTTAACTGTATTACGGAAGTTTGCAACAGCAACAATTTCATAGGATTATATCAGAGAATACAACCAACCAGAGGCCTCGAAAGTCTATAAACAATAAGCTATAATGTTTATAGTCTTTTTGTCGAGGGCTCTGATTGGTTGTATAACATTGTACTCTTACAATCCAATCAAATCGCATCATTTACAAACTTGCGCGATACAGTGACGGTCACTTTTGCACCCAGAGTATCATATGAAGTTTGTAATACCTTGGCATTGTGAAGATGGCCTATACCTTACCATTTACAATAATCACACCAAATATCAATGATAAAAACATAATCTAGCTACATACTATTAAGCGATTGTATAATATAGATGTACATCTAGATGTAAAATACTATAAAAGTTCTTTCTATCTTCGAATATGCGATTTAAAAGTATGGAAATAATAATATTTCAATGTTTTAGGAAGAATAAGTCATTGTTCTAAACGTGAACTGTCGAAGTTATTAATTTTACAAATCATTCGTTGCTGAAATAGGGAAGAGTTGTATTACAGTTTACATCCTAGAATTCAATACAGTCGGCAACGGGCATTCATCGACTTTTGAACGGAACATAACATTGCGTTTGACAAATCATAACAGTAAATACAAAATAGTCATCATAAATCATTCATAATTGATAACACGATTATAAATCGTTTGTTATTATTGTCGAATATAAAATAACATAATAAATGAGCGAAATGTCGTTTACCACTATACAGTGTATCTAATAGTTTATATTCGTCCAGATTAAACATGTAAATATCATTTTACAAAAAGTGTAAGAAAATACAGTATACATGCGCTATAGAATACCGACAAGCAACATTACAATATCTAAAGAGTTTATAACATTCACAAAATTACTGGAAAAAGCATATTTGTGACAACCATATTAGAAACGAAATGAAACAAATATGTGTGGTTGCCACGCCTGTTCCATCGTTTAAAAGTCATCACTATGAAAGACAAATGATCAAGTCAATAAATTATCAGTATAGTAAGTTAAAGAGTCATTCTGTTTTAATTTCAACGCGTAAAGTGGGCTTTTTTGCGTCAAATTATATGTATTTCCTTTGTATAGTTTCTAGTCGTTGACATGGCAAAATTTAAACAATTTCAAACTTCGCTCTCGGAGGTATGTTTGTAAATTCGCTGCTGATTGGTTATTAAGAATTAGTGGTCGAATCAGAATTCATTCCTAATAATCACACATATACTAGTACAGTAAAATTGGAGCCCGGGGAATACAAAATACTTACGTAAGCGGTTAAGACTTTTGTAGCTGTTTGTGACTTAACGCTTGGATATTTTAAGTTAAAACTTTCACGAAAGGGAAGGGTATCTTCCTCTATATGTTGGCATGCAGTTTAATGTATTTCGAAACCACAAAACAGATTGAAAAAAGCAGAATGCTCCTTTTAGTATCTACATCTTTACTACCTCCCACTGAAATACCACTATACTATCTTCTACTGAAATACCGCTTTACTATAATAATATTTCATTATGATCTGTCTACAGTCTTCTTCAAATCGTGGTCTGTCGCATTTCGACCAAGAGTGTCAAATTTGTCATAATTGATGCTAACTATAAAAAAACACATTCATTCACATGACGTTGCCATCTTATCAATGGATGACGTAATTTGCAATATGAACCTTGCTTTCACCAACAAACCATCCTGATTTTGGAAACTATATATCGTTATATTAAATACAACTTACAATAATTATACAGTGTTCACAAATAGATGCGGAGCTATTTTTTGTAAGTAGTAAACCGACAATAGAAATAGAATTAACCAAAATATTATTGAATTTGTTGAAACCCTGAATGAATTTAACAATAATATAAGAAGGCCAAACACCAGACTAGTAATAGATGTAGTCATTCTGTGGCTAGAGTTTGGTACGAGGTATGGAATGCAAGTAGAGGGTTCATGTGACTAGGTGAAAACAAGTTTATAACACAAAATGTAGTGAAATTAAAGTAAAGATGCTATAAATTGTAAACGATTTCATAGTCATAGCTGAATTATCTCCCTTTACAGTTACCGTCTGATAACCTTGATCTTTTCCCGCCGTTTTTGGCATTGTTGGTGGTTGACATGCTGGAGGTAGAAGAAGTTGCAGGACGTCCGTGACTAGTCTAGAAACATTACTAGGACAGTTCTTTGTCATTGGTTTCTTCACACAGCCCAGTATTTGATTGGCGTATCTAAAACAAACAGAATGAAATGGAGTTTAACGCTGCTGTTCTGTGTGGTATACAAGGAAAGACTCATTCGGTACCAATCTCTTACTGGTCAGGTCCAAGTTTCCTAAAGTCATTCAATCTTGCATTGAAAATAAAATATCGCAGCTAGATAGCAAATGATTATGCTGTATAGTAATGGCAATATTATTATTCCTGTGGGGAATGAAGCTTTTAGGTATTCACTTAACGTGGTAACATAATAGGCTTTCAAGCGAACTATTTAATAACATAACATACCCTACCCTGTTAATATGATATACCCTAACCCTAACACTACCCTAATAATATAATATACCCTAACACTACCCTAATAATGATATACCCTACCCTAATAATATAATATACCCTAACACTACCCTAATAATGATATATCCTACCCTAATAATATAATATACCCTAACACTACCCTAATAATGATATACCCTACCCTAATAATATAATATACCCTAACACTACCCTAATAAGGATATACCTTACCCTAATAATATAATATACCCTAACACTACCCTAATAATGATATACCCTACCCTAATAATATAATATACCCTAACACTACCCTAATAATGATATACCCTACCCTAATAATATAATATACCCTAACACTACCCTAATAATGATATACCCTACCCTAATAATATAATATACCCTAACACTACCCTAATAATGATATACCCTACCCTAATAATATAATATACCCTAACACTACCCTAATAATGATATACCCTACCCTAATAATATAATATACCCTAACACTACCCTAATAATATAATATACCCTAACACTACCCTAATAATATAATATACCCTAACACTGCCCTAATAATGATATACCCTACCCTAAACCAACTTACGTGCAGGCTATTCCCATCAGAGTCTGTGCATTAAGCGCCTGACCTGTTGTCAATATTTTGGATTGTTTTTCACCTCCAAACGCCGCGACCTTGGCATCAACACACATGTTGGTCTCTTCCACATCTTTAGTAATACAAACTGAGTTAGATTCTAGAACTGGAAATAGAAGACGATGTATTATATTATTAATGGCCAGTGTAGACCGAAACAGCTGTCTCTATTCCAACATCTGATAGCTATTTGGACAGATAGTGGCTAGTGTAGTGACAGAACAATAGACACTGTTAAATGGAGACTTTCAGCATCTCCGCGGGTGCGGGGGTTTAAAACCTATTTAGATACCCCAAATCTGCAAAACCCATATATATATGGTCTTGAATCCGCCATTTAAACTGTGTGCGCAGCCAAAAGTTCAAAGGTAACAGAGTCACGTGATACTAACAAAACGAAAGTTATGCTCAACAATAATATTCAGTTATCGTAAAGATAATTTAATATAATGTTAGAAAACACCGCATCTTCGGAGGCGTTCAAAATCCCCATTTAACAGGGTCTTTTCTCTGACTCTACTCCAACCGACAATTGTTAAAATATCCATCAGAGGTTGAAATCGAGGCAGATGTTTCGGACTAAAGCCAGTGGTGCTTGTTATATCAAGCGCCGCCCATCCGTTTATACAACGAAAGGAAATGATGATATTTATGGAATGAATGTGGACCTTTTTATCGTTATGGGAAAAAACTGGTTTATCATGTGACAAGACAAATGAACCGGCGAAGCGGGTCATGTACGCCTTGTCACATGATAAACCAGCGTTTATTTCCCCACATTCATTCCTTATATTTACTATGGGTTATCTTTTCTGCTAAAATACGCCAAAATGATCTATTTTTTAATTGTAAAAATACCCGAAACCGTTGTTGCTTAATTCACCGATATCTGTAAATCAAGTTCAACGCCCCGCCCCTAACAATATAGTTCTATAAACCAATACTTTATTTCTTCTAATAAAAAACGGAATCTGTTTAATATGGCTTGATTTAAAATATTTGTTAGAAACCCTTTCAGAATCGCTTACCAACTCTAGGTAAAAAACTTGGGTCAATCCTTGTTTTCGTTTTCGATGTATTCATACGCCTTATTGTCACGTGAACTACAGTTATTGATGTTATAAAGTGGTGTACATACCGTTGACGTTATCACAAAGTTTCTTGGCGGCCTTCCTCCAGCCATCTGGATTGACTGTTAAACTCAGTTCCTGCATGGCTTGATCTTGTGAGGCACACGCAGTATAAATCTTATCTAAGCATTCAACAGCTCTCTGGAATTTACCCGAACTGCAATAGATGACAGGAGTAAAAGGTGTATTTTTAATGTTTGTATTTACAAAATCTATTACAGTTTACACACTATATAATCATTTTGTGATAGGGATAATATACTTTTATAACAAATATAATATAACATATAAATTATATATTAACATATCAATATAAAAATAAGATCTAATACTAGGTTAGATAATTCCATTTTTCATGATTTGTCTGACATTTTTCTAATTCTCTAGATGCAATAAAGTTCACAAATGACTGCAGTGCAAGAATTTGTTGTTGCATTTATATTTGAAGGTATAATATTTGATCAAATTTGTTATTTATACATTAATACTGTGTTCTTTTCTTTCAAATTCACTAGGATCTATTCCTAAATTAATAGACATCTTATTTAAATTAATTAATATTTATTTTTTTCAAAAAGTTCATTTACCTTACTCCATACAGTTTGTGTTATAAATAAGTGATCGACAGTTTCAGTTGCCGAATTACAGAAATCACACATGGTGAAGCTAACTGTTTTTTATTTGTATAATTTTTCGTTTGTGTACATGAATATATTTTCCGATATATGTCTCGTGATTTACATTTTGACAGTGATACAGTAATACATTTTACACCATACATTATTCAATGTAGAGTCTTATTTGTTTTAACTGTTAGGTCTGGTGTCCCATCATTTAAAGGGATACTACGTCTTAGAATACACTCGTCCTGTGGCTAATATTTGTGTTTAATAGTGACTATTGGTTAAATAAGTATGCATCCCACACTTTATCAAGTTTGAAAAATCGACAATAAAACTATAATCAAAATTTTAAAAAAAAGTGATCAAGCGACAAGTCCGTTCAGTTTGAGAAAGAAAGAGTCTGGGTAATCAACGCTAAAACAGGAAACAATCATCTTCCGGTGTATACAAACAAACTTTGCCAATGATTAATATTCGTTGAAAATTGTGTCAGTGGTGGAGTATTCATTCTAAATTATATGAATTGCTTTTTCGCAGAGTCGCTTAATCTCCCACGAGGCATTATTATTCCGTCTTCAAAATATGTCTGACAATGTCGAAGTCAATTCAAGAGTAGAGGTCAAGAACGCGGGAAACCCCACTTGAGAGTTACTTCCCCTTGAAAATTACCCCGGATTTCCTAATGGATGTATTTAGCGTTTTATAATTAATTATTTGATTTTGTGGATATATCGCATTATAGAGGGATTTTGATGTATAGTTAGGACACCAGGTAAGTCCACTGATGGATATACACTGTTATTGGCCTAATTTGAGCAAAATTAAAATTTTATGTTCATCCTAAGACGTAGTATCCCTTTAATTTCCAACATTATTTGTATAACTTTTAAAGATTAATCTTTCTGAACTATTAAGTAATTGGTCTGAAAGTCAGAAACAAAACCGATATTTTTCTTTATCATATTCAAAACCATATTTACATCTGTTTTGATCTTGACGTTTTTATTTAAATATGGTATTTGAGTTCGAATTGGAGATATATTATCAATCTACTTTTAATTCATCTAACTTCATGGTCATCTCTATATATCAATATCATTTGACCAGTAAAAAGTATTGGCCAGGATTATATGTGAATTTTCAGGGAAATTTGGAAAAAGTGAAAATGAATAATATTCCAGTAACCAAAAAGGTTGAATATCGTGATTTAAGATTGAAATAAGATTCTATTTAATTTAGTGAAGTGAGTCCAGACGTAAGATAAATGTTATTCATCAAGTGTTAATTATTATTCAATAATCAAGCCAAGTTGTCAGTGTTCTTCAAGAACAAAACACAAAGTTAAGTTGTTGTCATGTCTTATTTGTCTTATTTGAGTTAACATAAAAATGATATTATTGAATATACTAAAATGAACAAAGGGAAGTAACTGAGTTAAAACAAATTGTTCAACAATCGGTCAGCAAAGTTCTTGAAGCCGTGGATATATTGAGATAGGTTTTAAATCAGGCGTCGGGAAGTTATATCCATATTACCTAGTGTTACAATGGTAAAAATTACTTACTCGCACAACTCTTTAGCTTCCTTGGGATCGGTGATGAATTTATGCAAACTTCCTCCTAATGGTGCTAGTCCTGATTTGGACATGCAGGTTTCAGCTTGTTTACCGTGATCATCGGGGCACTTCCCTTCTTCTGCTGCTAAACAAACACATACCAAGAATACTGAAATAATAATAGGGGATATATAGACTCGGTGCTACAAATTAAATGGGTTTGGAGTTTTACGTCCCAATTTTCTGTTACATTTAAGACAAAGAATATTAAGAGTGTTTCTAATATTAACTGCCAGATGTTGAGATGGTAGTGACAAGGCTCCACGTTCTCTAAGATCTAACGAAGATTGAAGATTAACAAGAAGTTTACTCTCAACTAATCTCGATCATGCTAATTTAGATAGAGAACGTCATATATCTGGTGGAATTCATATTGAAGAAGGAGGAGTGTGCGCCAGCCTTATAAAAACGAGAAACAAGACTCCCCGTGGTCAATAATATATGATATACGAGTAGAAGGAGTAATCCATTTCACGATTTCCCTTCAACATTACCCTTATTTCTAAATCTTACAAACTTTCACTGTTACTTTAAAACATTCATTTATATATTAAATGCACATAGTAGGGTGGATTTTGGGTTGTTGTTTGCTATTTTATAATTGAAATAAGAAATATAATATAGTAATATAGTAATCTAGAATATTCCATTTCAAAGTAATCTAGAATATTCCATTTTATAGTAATCTAGAATATTCCATTTTATAGTAATCTAGAATATTCCATTTTATAGTAATCAAGAATATTCCATTTTATAGTAATCTAGAATATTCTGTTTTATAGTAATCAAGAATATTCTGTTTTATAGTAATCTAGAATATTCCATTTTATAGTAATCTAGAATATTCTGTTTTATAGTAATATGGAATATTCTGTTTTAGAGTAATATAGAATATTCTGTTTTAGAGTAATATAGAATATTCTGTTTTATAGTAATATAGAATATTCTGTTTTATAGTAATATAGAATATTCTGTTTTAGAGTAATATAGAATATTCTGTTTTATAGTAATCTAGAATATTCTGTTTTAGAGTAATATAGAATATTCTGTTATAGAGTAATCTAGAATATTCTGTTTTAGAGTAATCTAGAATATTCTGTTTTAGAGTAATATAGAATATTCTGTTTTATAGTAATATAGAATATTCTGTTTTATAGTAATATAGAATATTCTGTTTTATAGTAATATAGAATATTCTGTTTTATAGTAATCTAGAATATTCCATTTTATAGTAATCTAGAATATTCTGTTTTATAGTAATCTAGAATATTCTGTTTTATAGTAATATAGAATATTCTGTTTTATAGTAATCTAGAATATTCTTTTTTATAGTAATATAGAATATTCTGTTTTATAGTAATATAGAATATTCTGTTTTATAGTAATATAGAATATTCTGTTTTATAGTAATATAGAATAATTTGTTTTATAGTAATCTAGAATATTCTGTTTTATAGTAATCTAGAATATTCTGTTTTATAGTAATATAGAATATTTTGTTTTATAGTAATCTAGAATATTCTGTTTTAAAGTAATCTAGAATGTTCTGTTTTATAGTAATCTAGAATATTCCATTTTATAGTAATCTAGAATATTCTGTTTTATAGTAATCTAGAATATTTTGTTTTACAGTCAGAGAAACTAATAAATAAAACATGATTGAATCCATAAAATGCACAAAATTGTTATCATATACTGTATGATAAATTGATTTGTCAATGTTTAGCGATTCCCTGGGGTACGACAATTCTCTTGACTAACAGACTGTAGATAAACTTTGGATGAATATTATTATAATCTAAAATAGATGTCATAATGACAAATCTACATTCCAAATAAATATTGTAACTATATAGACTGTAAGGGGTGCTGAAAGGGGTGCTGAAAGGGATGCTGTAAGGGGTGCTGAAAGGGATGCTGAAAGGGATGCTGAAAGGGGTGCCGAAACGACAAAACTAAATATCCAAAAAACATAATTGGTATCTAAGCCTCGGTGAAAGGAGTGTCGACTCTCTAAAATGTATTCAGTTGACGTCACGTTATGACACCATAAGCACAAAAACACATTGGTATTGGTCTAGAAGGACATCAATTTGATTCCAAGATAGGTTATTTACCAAGACCATATCTTTCATGCTCTGAAGTTTTGAATCCAGTCTGCGATACTTAAATTCTAACTGAAAGTATGTTTTGAGAAAGATTTTATCTAATTTATTATAACGACTAATAATCGATAACCTCAGTAGACATTTAATGGAATTTAACAGTTTTTCTATCTAAGATTAGCTAATCAGTACTCGAATATCAATTGGCACCAGATCAGTCAATACGCTGTACTAGATTCAATTTTGAAGATCATGTCAAAAACATTGAAGGTTATATTCAAAACCATGCTAAAATCCATTCCGTCGTTTCGATTTTTAAAAAATAAATTAAAATAGAACGGTGATTCATGACCAAATTTTATATTCTTGATGGGTTATGAAGAACGGCAACGCCATGCTGTGTACAGTGAAGGAAATGTTGCCAGGGTGTTTACATTGACCGGCGGTTTTGATAGTGTCTTTAAAAAAAGTACTTGCATTGAATCGATATTATTTTTTAAACAATTTGACAAAACTTCGGCTCCAAACAAATACATTTTTAAAATCAACAACTATTACTCATTCATGCAATTATGTATAAATAATGTGTTATTTTTAATGACCTGGCATTTATTCCAATACAACTTGGCTGCCTCCAGTAAGCTAAGGTTATTTTGTGTTATTCTATTGAATGAGTCTTGTTATATCTGTATAGGAAATTAAAAACAAGACGAAACGTTTTTAGATAACTGTTTATAAAACAGACAACAAAAGGCAGGGTCACTGGTTATATTCATGATTATATAATTAGCTAGGTGCTAGAAGACTGAACAATGTTTAACTAGTTCTATTCTATACGAGTCTGAGATATATGCCTGTTAGTGGTTATAAGCTCTCTAATGAGTTGTTAAGAAAAGAAACAGTTTCTAGCTTCAGGAAAGAACACCTCTTATTTCTATAGATATTGTATAATTTCTTTAAATATAGTTACAATATAACAAATATCCAGAGCTAATCTCGTCTGTATAATTGTATTGCTTTGACTAATAGTATATAGTGGAATTAATATTATCATATTTATCTAATCTTGCTCTTTTTGCGGATTTGTCAAGTTAGCAATATAGCAGCTTCTATTGTTTACTTTGGTTTGCTATGTTTGTTTGTCAATTTGGTATCCCTTTCAGAGAAAATTTCTCAAATCTGCATCTTTTTCGGAAGTCCACTCGGATAATTGTTGATAATCCCAATTTACAATTAATGAATAGTAAACTACGTATATGACATGTTAGTCCATTTGTAAACTAAGTATGGGACATGTTAGTCCATTTGTAAACTAAGTATATGATATGTTAGTCCATCTGTAAACTAAGTACATGTATATGACATGTTAGTCCAGTTGTAAACTAAGTACATGTATATGACATGTTAGTCCATTGGTGAACTAAGTAGTATGTATAGGACATGTTAGGTCCATTTGTAAACGAAGCATATGTCATGTTAGTCCATTTGTAAACTAAGTATATGTCATGTTAGTCCGATTTGTAAACTAAGTATATGATATGTTAGTCCAGTTGTAAACTAAGTACATGTATATGACATGTTAGTCCAGTTGTAAACTAAGTACATGTATATGACATGTTAGTCCATTTGTAAACTAAGTATATGTATATGA